TTCAAAAGTGGATGTTATCTGTCGATAATATTAGGCCTGAGATCATATTGTTGCGTCAGCGAGGTCACGTGACTAGTGTGACGCCACCTATTTTCTAGAAGTATCTTGTTCCTTGCCCTAGCATTTACTAGATATATATTTGTCTGGTATATATATATAAGACGCTCACAACGTGACAACAATGTGTGTAGGTAGTGAGTAATTGATCTGCAGTCAGAGAGTATTGTCGAATTTCGTTATAGCGTTTGTTTTAGCGCGAATGTTGAAATCAAGTGTATCGTAAAGTTATATTCAGAAAGAATAAACCAGTTTTATTAAGTAAGGACTTGTGTCGCTAAAGTTTCGTCGGAACGAAGTTACGGAAAGTTAATTAACAAACAGAGACGTAACAATATGTTATTATATCAACTTGTCTACATAGACGTTTGACTTTATGTGGTTAACATTTCTCAAGATATGAAGCAGTTACCTAATCGTTTATATCTGAAAGTATAACTAAAACACGGGTTTTATCATAGGATGGGTATTAGGTACAGGTGAACGTCTGCTTTAAAAAAAATGTGTAAATTCAGTGTCTGTCTAAATAAGTGTGTAGCAGGAGCACGCTACGCTAAGTACTCATGTTTATTACTGTACACAATAAGCAGTGAAACAAATAATTAGACATTGTAGAAAGCAGTGTGTGGCCTATGGAAATAGAAAGAGTTTATGGGTAAGTTGAAAGAAATAGCTGAAATAGTGTGATCCTTGTGTTACTTTGTACACACAGAAGCTGTTACGTTTATTACGTATGTAGAATTTGTTACTTGTTTCTATACATTAAAATCAGTCTATCCTGTCAGTGTCAGTGAGGTTCAACTGTGCAGATTATATTAAACTTTTACCGTCGAAGGTGTGACATTTTCAAAATATGTGCCTTAAGATTATTATTTCATATTCAGTACTGTAAAACAAGAGCACCAGTATTTGTGACTATTCTGATAGGTGGAGCATTAGTTTTAACGCGTAAGTGACTAGTAAGGTTAGGTTAGGTTTCGTGTGCGCAGTGTTAGTTTCAACGTGCAAGTACTGGTTGTTGACAAATGGTTGTTAAAACCAGTTTCCCAGCAATGATGAGCCTGGTGTCTTTATTTTAGACTATAATTTCAAGATATTAATGGTAATTGTAACTTTAGCAATTGAATACCTACATTAATTTCGACATGCTAGTGAGGGCTTGAGGCTGAGCAGTTTATTAACATAACTTGGAATGTCCTATTAACAGTTCTAGTGTCAATAATAATTAATCCAATGTGCTAGTGATGTTTTGGAGTGATTATCGTTATTTTTAGAGCACTACTAAGAGTTTTGGTGTGAGTAGTACCATTTTTTTTTGTTCACCACTGACATTTTGGGTGTGAGTAGTATTTATAGTGCACCATTAACAGTTTTGGTTAGTTTATTAACAGTTAATAAGTGTCGAACACTGCCGTTCATCAACAAGACGAGTCTTAGTGTGAATACAATAGTGTTAAACGCTGCCGCTCGTCAAAACAAACGGGCTCCAATGTGAATACAGCAGTCTTAAACACTGCCGCTGGTCAAAACAAACGGGCTCCAATGTGAATACAGCAGTGTCAAACACTGCCGCTCGTCAAAATAAACGAGCTCCAATGTGAATACAGCAGTATTAAACACTGCCGCTCATCAACAAGATTAACCTCAATGTCAGCACAACAGTGTCAAACACTGCCGCTCGTCAAAACAAACGAACTCCAATGTGAATATAGCAGTGTCAAACACTGCCACTTGTCAACAGGACGAGCCCCAATGTCAGCACAACAGTGTCACACCCTGCCATTCGTCAACAAGATGAACCCCAAGCAAAGCACGGACAGAGAAAAAGACAGTATTACTGGAGATACAAGACTGTTTAGTGTAAGAATTATTATTTACTTTATTTAGTGATCTAATACTTAGTGATTATTTAGTTTCATAACAAGAGTAATTATTTTAAAAGGAGATAGTTATGACGAATTTCGTTACGTAACTCGGTAAGAGTCGTACGTTTTGTGTGTAGTTCAATTGTTGTAAGTTGATGTTACATTACTCGAACATTCTGTATTTTTCTCGTTGCCTTAAGTGAGTATTGTTAGATCATAGCGTCTCGTACTTTGTAGAAAGTTCTAGGCTTCAGTTTGACAATATATATATATATATATATATATATATAGTAC